AGAAATTCTAGCTCATTGGGAAAAGAATATATGAAAACCAACATGTGGAAAGGTTGAACCAACATGTGGTAAGGTTGAACCAACATGTTTCAATATTTCCATTTGAAATGCAAAATTTTTATAAAGTATCAATTTAGAGTTGAGTTAGTAATTTAAATGTAGTTTTCAAATATAAATGGATGCTTAAATGGATACTGCTTCTTATTATCATAAGTAACGTTTCGTTTAAAGGAAACTAATTCGTTTTTACTAAGTACGATGATCTGTTCTACTAAAATATGCCTCCGTCAACAGAGTTACTGTACTTATATCTCTGTAGTTCCAGAGACATTACTTTGATATTTTTCCAGTTCCAATCCAAAAGAATTTCCAATTATGTTTTGATTTCATCGCTTAAGATGTTACCAGTTTGTTTTCTCTAAACATTAGAGTATCTTTTGCAATCCTGCCAACGCAAACCAATCCTCCCATCCATTATACATTGTAATTGAAAAAATCGATTATTTTAAAAATGCACTGGATGCATTGTATAATTAAAAAAGCAGAAATACATTACTTCAACAAATTATTTTTAATTAAATAATACAACCGTTATAATCGATTAGTAACTTAACAAAACTTATTGAAAGTTAGGTGGTCGAAATCGATTGGATTAATACTACATAAAAAAAATTAAAAGAATTAAGTTTTAAAAAATTGTTATTAAATGTGGTAATAAATAATGTTAAAGTATAATTTATTTAAAGCAGTAATCATTTATTTAAATAGCACAATTATAGGAATGCTTTCATGTATTTAACCATTAAAAGATTCACCTGACTAATAACTCACAACCAACTTTACATATCACAATTTGGATATGCTGGTGGATGGTTCTATTCTTTAGGAGCATTGTTGATTGTAGCTTGGAACCTTGTCTATATTATAGTAAAGTAACTTACAATGTTCGTTATATTCACGTTGTTCTCCAATATAAGATTTCTATTGACTTGCCTGAATATCACGTCATACTTTTAATATACGTCTTACAATGTCTTCACCTATAAAAATAAAAACGAATTCACTAGGTGTGTCCACCATTAAATCATTTACGACGTTTTCTTATTTTTTCTTTGCTTTTGTTAGTTGTCAAAGAAGTTGTTTCCGTTCGGCAACTAACATATAGTGGATCTTGAAAATCGGACATACATACATAAATCAGAAACATACTTACTGCTTGATGTATTGATTGGTATTGTTTTTCTGATTGTGAAGTTAGATCCCCAATTCGTCACTAGGACAATAATTGGTGATATTTCTGACATTAGAAAGGGAACGGCTAGGTCAAATGATTAAGGAGAAGAATTAAGAGTGTGCAAAAGTATGTCAAAGAGTGGGCTCCGAAATTGTTCGATTCTGTGGAAGCGCCTATTTATTTCGAATTGCACTCTCTTAACTGTAATTCAAAATTTATTCCGTCAGGGAGATATGCTGGTCTTTAAAGTTAATTTCTATAAAATCATCTAAATAACTTATTATCGCAATGCAACGGAGCTCTTATTACAGTGGATTATCTAAATAATCGCAGATCTATTAAGTATAAGTGCTTACTCATGTTTAAGTATACACTTTCTCTCAAGAAGGGTTGGGAAGTAGTCTCCGCGTCACTGCATCCTCGAGGATTATTGTGACATACCCACTTCAGTTCCATAGACGAGTAGCAGTTAAGAATGCCAGTATGTCCTTTGGAGAGATGTTGCCTAATTCCGTTATAAGCGGATCTGAGTCTTGCAAGACTATCACAGTGACACAATATGTGTTCTGCTGTTTCCTCTTCTTCGTAACAAAGTCTACAGCTATCGTCTCCAGTAATACCTAGATTCAATAAATGTTTTTAAACTTCCGCAGTTCCAGTTAGAACCGTGTGACAAGTCGGAATGCACACTTCTGTTCAGATAAGTAGGCTTCCCTAGTTCTGGACTTTATCGAAACGGCATGGATTCTTTTGCTTGTCTGCAGGTAATTGTATTATCCCAATCATTCTGAGCTGCTTTTTCCAACCATTCATTAGTTTTCAGTTTGAAAAAGCTCCACGAAGGACCGCAGAATGGTTGTGGCCCAATATAGTATGAGGCTGCCCCTTTTCTCGGTAGTTCATCTGCTTTTTCGTTTCCCTCAAAACCGCTGTGCCCTGGAATCCATATTAAGTAGACTCTGTTCTTTTCAGCAAGGTCTTTGAGAAGTAGAAGGCATTCCCACACTATTTTTGAGGTTACTCGAGGTGAGCGTAGTGCCAGGAGTGCCGATTTACTGTCAGAAAAGATATATATGTTTTTTCCAGTGACGGGTTTACCTTTATATACCCTGAGACATAATTCAATTGCGTGTACTTCAGCCTGAAAAACTGAGTTTTCTTTACTCATACTCGCAAATATTTCCTCTTTAGGTCTTACTCCATATACTCCCGCCCCCACTCCTTCCATCGTTTTGGAGCCATCCGTGTACCACAGATGGTAGTCTCCAGCGAATGAAGGTATGTTCCGTTCCCATTCATTTCTGTCTGGTATTAGTATTAGGAACTTTTGGTGAAAGTTGGATTTAGGTAAGCAAATGTCAGATATGGTGATATTTAGTCCTTCCTCTCTTTGCATTTCCCTACCTAACAGGGAGTTATCGAGTAGTCTTGTTGATTGATTGCTAGTCAACTGTAGCTTGGCCATAAAAGTCATTGCTTCCTTTTTGACTAGTAGGTGAAGTGGGGGGAGCCCCAATGCAACCTCTAGGGCTGCTGTCGGGTAGTTCTCATCGCTCCACTTGTCATTATGCAGGCTAATCTCTGCAGCTTACGAAGTTTATCTATTACAGTCTTCTGTTGTGCTTTTTTGTACCAGATAGCTGACCCATAAGTTACAATTGGTCTGGCAATAGATGTGTACATCCAAAGGCTGAGTTTTGGATTAAGGCCCCAGTGCTTACCAATGAGGTTTCTGCTGGTCCATAATGCCTCTCTGGCTCTTCGTATGACATTGTCTATATGAGAATTCCACGTCAACTTCTCATCTAGAATCATTCCCAGGTATTTTACTTGGGTAACGGATGATAGCTCTTCTCCATTTAGGAATGGGTAATTGGAAAGTACTCTCTTCCTTTTCTTTGTGAAGACTACCAGACTTGTTTTCTTAGGATTTACATTTAATCCTACTTCACTGCACCATCTACTAACGATGTTCAGGGCTTGTTGGAGTCGATATGAGATCATGTCTTCATATTTACCCCTGACAAGTATGACTATATCGTCAGCATAGCCTTATGCCTCGAAATGTTTGGCACTGAGTCGATGCAAGAGCTCGTCTACTGCAATTGACCACAGGAGTGGGGATAATACACCCCCTTGTGGGCATCCTTTTACAGTATGTGCTTTTATTTCGGCATTGCCGAGAGTGGATTTAACCATTCTATTTCTTAGTACATTGCTTATCCATGTGCGTGTCGTATCATCTACTCCTCTGTCATGGAGGCATCTTTCGATATGTGAGTGATCAGTATTATCAAACGCTCCCTCAATATCAAGAAAGCATCCCACCGCATATTCTTTGCAATCTACAGACTCCTGTATTTTATTAGTAAGACTGAGTAATGCATGTGTGGTGGATTTATTTTGTTGGTAGGCGTATTGGTTGGCGTGGAGTGGATTTATAGATAAATACTCTTCCCTTATATGCCTTTCCACTATCTTCTCCATAGTTTTTAAAAGAAATGTAGTCAAACTTATAGGCCTATGGGATTTAGGAAGTTCGCTAGGTTTACCTCCTCCTTTAGGTATGTATTTGACAATTGCTTCCTTCCAATTAGTGGGAATGATTCCCATCGCCAGCCCAGCTCTAAAGATATAAATGAGGTAGGGCATAAGGTCAGTTAGTCCCTTTTGTAGGAGTGCTGGAAATATTCCGTCTGCTCCAGGTGCTTTGAAAGGAGAAAATGAGTTGATCGCCCATTTAATTTTATCTTCAGTGAAGATTTTACGAGCAATCTTCCAGTCATTGTTTCTGGGCCTTTTGGTCACCAGGGAACTAAGCTGGGAGATTGATTGGTCGTAAATTGTAGATCCCGGAAAGTGTACTTCTGTTAGAAGTATAAGTGACTCTTTGCAGTCATTGGTATAAAGTCCATCAGGTCGTTTTAGAAGCCCAATGGGATTAGTGTGGCTTTTCGAGATAACCCTGTGGATTTTTGCGCTATTGCTTAAGTTTTGAATCTCTGAGCAAAAGCCTCTCCATGATTCTCTTTTTGCCCTTCTAATTTCTTTATTGTAGGCGGTGAGGGCATTTTTATAATTGTCCCATTCACCGTTGGTTTTTGCCTTGTTGAAGAGTCTCCGGGATTCGACTCTTAGCTTGGCTAACTTTTTATTCCACCATGGTGCACTTCTGTTGCCGGTCTTATTTTTCACCGGACAGGCCCCATGGTAGGCATTTATAATAGTTGTGCTTAAGGCAGCATCAGCTATTTCTAAATCATGAATATTTTTTATCGTATGTTTATTACTGCCTAGATTGGCCTTGAGTTCGTCAGTATAAAGATCCCATTCTGTGGCCCTAGGCACCCTATACGATTCTCTTACCTTCATATTTAGATCAATATCAAATCTAATCTGACGATGATCAGACATGGATGTTTCTGCTGAAACATTCCAGTTTTTGATAAAATGTTTTATAAATTGTGTTGCTAGGGTGATGTCTAATACCTCTTCCCTGATTCTGTTTATAAAAGTGGGCTTATTGCCCGTATTCAAAATATATAGGTTGTTACCAGTTATAAATTCAAATAGACACTCACCTCTTTTATTGATGTCGGTGCTGCCCCAGATCGTGTGGTGTGCATTAGCGTCACTTCCAACGATGAGTTGCCTCTTGCTTTTAACACTGTAGTCTACTAGTCCTTTCAGTGATAGGAAGTCCAGGTTTTGGGAGTCTCCAGGTAGGTAAGATGAGCAGACAATGAGCTCTGTCTTACTTACTGGGGTGTCCACAGAAATTATAGCTGCTACCTGGTCCTTGTTGGTGTGCTGTGGAATAATGAAAGCATTAATGTCATCTCTTACCACAATACAAGCACGAGGTCGACCATGGCTGGCATGATCGTACAGTAGCTTACCTTTTATTCCCTTTATCTGGTTCTCATATACATATGGCTCCTGGATAAAGGCTAGGTCAATCTTTTCAGATAGAAGTCGCTGTGTCAACACCGCCGTAGCAGCTTTGGCGTGTTGAAGATTAACCTGCAGGCACCTCATCATTTTATTGGTATCGTCCTTTACCGTTCCGCATCCACTTGGGCAATTTTGTCCCATGAGTGGGTGCTTCCTGTCGAGGGGATCTTGAAGCTGGTTTCTTTGGCCCTTGCTTCTGGTCCTTTATGCTAGATACCGGTGTGCCACCCTGCTGTTTTGAGGTGCTGGGTCCGACTTCAGTTCGGGTGCTGTCCCGTGTGACCTTAACCGTCTCACTTGGCTTATCTGCCTGTGCTTTTGAGGTACTGGGTTTATCACCTGAAAGCGGCCTTTTGGATGGAGGCACCTGTTGCTTGACGTCACTGGGTTTCTCTGTCGTAAATGGCCTTTTTGTCGTCAGTTTCTTGGGTCCAGTTGGCTCTCCCTTCACACGTACGTGAATTTGTGTGAAGTTCAGATACAGCTTCCCTGCCTGACCGACTATCCAATTTTTGGATTTTTCGTCCACTGAGATCGTAACGGTTTCCCCACCATTCTTATCTTTCTCAGTCCTGAGAATTCTCCACGATGATGTGCAAATGCCACCATTTTGTTTTTCCAATCGGGACATCAGAATTTCTGGTGGTAGCACAGCAGAGGGGGGAATAAATGTGATGCACACATAGGTTTTGGGCATCTCTTCGCCCTGAAACACTTTGAGAATAGCATCCGGGAATGGTTTGAGTTTTGGGACACAGGTGGTCAGCCAGTTCCTCGTTTCACCATTGCAGCATGTTAATGAGAGCCATCCGTCTCTGTTAACACTGGTGATGAAGCCGTAGACACTATTGTGCTTGGGAAGTTTGTCAATTTCTTCCAGGAGCTTCGATTTATCAACTCCATTTGGTCACCAGTGAGATTCACCTCCGGATATTTCTCATGGGCGATAGCCACTTTGCAAGCATTGGCTACATCCCTGTAAGATGGAGTCGGTTTTAGCTGGTTTCCGGTAGAGCTAGATGTGTGTTGAGTGGCTTTTGGCTTTTTGGGCTGCGGGCGTTGTGTTTCTTCGGGAGATGTGTTATTAGATCTGCACCTTTTGCTGGTACTGGGTCTGTCACTTTCTCCTTCTGCTGCCAAGGAAGTTTTGTAGAGAGAGTATCGCTCTCTCTCTTTCTGCTTCGCAGTCTCCAAATCCAATCCATCCCTAATCATGGCCTTGATGCGTCTTTTCTGAGCCCCGGTGAAGTATTCCGCTTTCTTCCTGGTCTCTATGTTGCCGTCACCTGAGTTCACCATGCTCTGGGTATTAGCATTAGACGCACCGCCATCGTGGTCATCTGTGTCCATAGGACTCTGGGTGTCAATCACCGGAGAGGTGTTCCCACCGCTTGATACCATTGGTCTCTGAGCAGATGGGTTCAGATCATCCAGATCCTGAATCTTGAGAGATGCTTCAAGCCTCTTTTCAAGATTTCCTCCAACCTTCGTTGGCGAACGGAGTAGAGCTTCTTCCTCTGACTCTGTAATTATATTATTAATTGGTATATTTAGTTTATTTTCCATATACAGTGTTTAATATAAGGGAAAGAACAGTCACCCAAAGCAGAGCCCCATACTTTGAGAAGGCATTAATTAAAACAGGAGAGTGCCCGGTATCCTGAGTTCATTACTAAAAGACTGGATGCACCCCTCCAGTCAAGCATCCTCGGCGTAACAGTCTACCTCAGATTTGGGGGTTTTTATAGGTATCGTACAAATTTGAAAGCTACACATATTAAAACAAATATTACTATAAATACGTACCCGGGAAGTTTTCTCTTCCCAGCCCGACAATCAGCAGTCCACCCTTGGCAGAGACATGACCATATCAAGAGCTTCCCATCAGCCTGAGAGATTGTCGCACTTACCCTTACGAGTCTGGCTGATAAGCTGGAACTTAGTGGACGGTCTTTACCGCCACCTACTCCCTGAGACGCTAGAGTATTGTTTAGCCATTCAGACTTTGCCAGCTTGCAAAAACAAAGAGCCTATCTACAAACTAACTACTACAAGGACTACAAGGTTACAAACTACAAACTACAAACAACAAATTAACTACAAATTTATAACTAATTACTATCACTACAAACATAGATTACAAAACAACACATTCTACCTTAACCTACTGGTAGATCTTGGTTGCACTTCTTGCTCTAATCTCAATCAACATTCCAGTCAGTGACATCAGTGATAACACTGACTGAAATATTGATCAGAATAGCTCAAGTTGTATCTAAGCCCCTACACCACGACAAGGTGCCTACCACGT